TAAATAAATTACAGTTACTACCTTATGGTGTGTTTTTGATATCCTACTATAAACACTGCCGCACCCTGCATATGTATGTATGTATACAAGGTGTATCAGTACAGCGGTGACAAACTTTCAGGCGAGATAAAGTACACCTAGACAATGGGAAATCACATAGGAATACCTGGTCGGAAACGCTTTCCTGACGCGATAGTGATGACATAAAAGTAAAAAAAAAAAAGGACACGAATGGGGTGAGAAAACATGTTTATTATTCGGAGTACAACAAAAACAAAGAAAAACAACATAAAGAGACAACGATCATCATCAAAGAAAATGTTCGAAATTACGACCCGAACCGTGATGCAGGAACCGTGCTTCATGCATCTTCAATACGATCTTCCATTCATGATGCAAATCTTCCATGCGCCAGAGAAGTGAAGCATGCATCACCGTCCGGGATCGTAGTTTCGAACACCTTTTTAATAACGACTATTGTTTGTTTTTGTTCTTATATGTAGGTTTCTGTTGTACTAAACATAATAAAACATGTTTTATCTCACTGTTTGTGTCCTTCCTTTCTTGTTTTTTGTGTCGTCAGTACCGCGCCAGAAATCATGCATTGTTATGATTTTCATTCGTCTAGGTGTACTCTATCTCTCTTGAAAGTTTGTCACCACTGTACTGAAACATCCTGTATATATTTATCATAAACGTTTCTGCACGAGTAATCCTAGAGATTATGTTCCGTAGTTTTACATAACTCAAATGGAAACCAAGCAATCTTCCTTTCACTGGAGTAATCCAGCTATCCCATTTCATTCACATGTACTGTAACACGAATATTTGACCACCAAATTAGTAGCATAAAAATTGATTCACTCATTTAATGACATTTTTGGACACCAAGCGACCTATTCTTTTCAAATAGAAATGCTTGTCAACAAACAAAAGCTCATTCGCCTGCCATTTTTTTCTCTAATTACTGTACGCAGCGTTGTTGCACTTCTACATTTTCATGAACCACTTTGAATTTTAAATTGCGTTTCATATAAATAAAATATAACGTACCAGCATGCATTGCAAATCCGCATATATCTTAGATATTTCTACTTAAAATATGCTGAAATTTTATTCTTATTTTTAATATCATCTAAGAACTACGAGGTGAGTCACAGATACAATTAAACTTTTGATCGCACCGCGTGGTGCAGTTTTACGGCTAAGTGAAGTGAGACAGTGCTTTCGGAAAGCAAAATCTTCAAATTGAAGAAGTGCACATAATACCAGCCAGACTCATCTTATTGCCTTAAACTAAGCTCCGTTTCGAATGTTTTTCCAACACTAAGAGTCCTTACAGAAGGCTTTCTTTCCTGGATATTTCTCGTTGTAAATGGTCATTTTTTGCACTTGGCCACAGTCGATGGTAAAATCCTGCAATTAAATCACGTTTCCTCAGTCTAACGGGCACGTGAGTCTTGCTGAAATGAAAAAATTGAGTTTCAGATTTAATATGCCGCTCATTGTCGGTCTCTACATTATACACTATGACACTACATTTACGTCAAACACTTAGCCATATTTTTTATTCATCGTCTAGTTCTATAATACTTATCTGAAATAGTTCTTTTTAAAAAATATTAGTTGGAAGTATTTTAAATTTGGAAAAGCAAAAGGAAAATGTCAAACGATCTCTTAAAAATTTTTGCTTCTGCTCAGTATCTTGCATTTGATTATCATGGTTAATGACAGGTACTTTAAGCAGTTATACTGGTATTAATTTCATTATTGAGAAAGGACTGGGCACATTAGAAGAAAAGCTGCCCTTTTAATCAGAAAACTTCCCTGCATTTAAGGTCATTATTTTCAACAACATAAGATGATAAGGTGTGCTTTATGGAATCTATGGAGGACAAGAGGTAGAAAAAGCAAGCTATCGTGAAAGAAGAAAAGTATGGAATAAATGATATTAGAAGCATTTAGCTAAAATTATAAGTTTTCTGTAAATTTTCATTCATTGTCGGAGGAGACCATTAAATATTTCAAAGCTTATCAATTGGTTCCTAGAATTTTTGTTTCCTTTTATTGCTGCTAAATCTATCCAAGTATCTTCTTCTTTCAGTGAATTAGCTTTGTAAAAGGTATTTTAATTTCGCTGGAAATTTCTCAGCTTGACTTGAAGCTGATAGTTTCAAGCATCCTTGATCACTAGGGATCTAAAGAGACACTCTCTCGTGTTTCCTGAAGGAAATTTTGAGAGGGTTTCTTCTCGTGTTTACTTTAGGATTCCATTGTTTCCTTTTTTGTTTCTTTTAGAAAACGTAAGACATTCCCAGTGCTGCAGATCTTTGAAATGACTAATCTTATGACTCCCAAATATTATTTTTTTAAATGTTTAAAGTTGTATGTAAACTACAGCCGGTATGTGCGAAAGGCAGGTAAATTCTGTAACATTGAATAAATTTGCTAAAGATTCTTTTAAGAACGAAAATATAATATTTATGTTGCTTGAAAACATACAAAGTGTAACTAGGACCATCGAAAGCAAAAGTATTTAGACCCGTGTGCTATCAACAAGTCAAATTATGTTTAAAATTTAGAACTGAAATCAAACTATCGATATGCACTTTCTTCTACTAAACTAATGGTGAGCTGTCATTGAACAGCACATTATAAAAGTGCAGCAGACGATCTTCTGATACTTCTTTAGCTTTATGCAACGCATAGCATAATGCTCGTACGCAATGTTAAGAGCAGGTTTGAAAAGTCAGTAAAATTCGTGATATTTCATTAATTCTAACCAATTTCTCACAATGACCGTAAAGCTCTTGCTTCCATGTCCGTCTGAGCTATTTACAATCTAAAAGCAGTTAGATGCATAATATTTTTCACACTAAAGCATAATAAAACTGTTAAAAACCTGAAGTGAAATTGAAAATACGCAAGGTTTATGATATTATTCTTTTCCTAGAATTATTTGCTTTTATCCTTTCTTTTATAGGTATTATTAAATTTTCATTTGTATCATTTTATAATATTCGGAACACTGAACTGAGCAGAATAATATTTGTTACTGAAGCCATTCATCCATTTTATCTCTCCGAGTATTTAGCTATCCCTTGAATTTGAATTTATCTCAGATTAAGTATAATTTCTTCTCATGTTTAGAGTATTTTAACGAAATTTTTAGGATACTTTACGTCTCAGATAAAAACAGCAATTTAAAACATTTAGATCTCCAAGTTCCGTTGAATTTGGGCTTCAGTAAACAAATGTTTGACTTTTATATTTTGAAATGTGTACCAAGTAATTTACATCACGTAAAGCGGAAAATTAATTAAAAATTTCCTCTGGACTGAAATTAATTCAGGCATGTCGCAGATGCTTAACGGAAGAATTGACAATGCCTTTGTTTACGGTAAAAAAAAAAAAAAAAAAATTGTTTGCTATCAGCATACGCGCCACTGATATTCTTTTGCTAGGCTTTAAATTATTTAACAGATCCTGAAGGGATATACGCTAATTAGTATGGAGTATTCTAATTTGGTGAGTCTTTGAGACCAACAATTTATTTTGTTGAATTCAGTAATTTCGATTAGAAACCCATCTGTCTTATACAAAGTTCAAATTTAATTTCTGTGAAACAAGATCTTTTTTAACTAATTCCTTATGCCTAACGTATCTTTCTTCTATACGGAAAGAATGAGGTTAATTTCATTCTTTTTTCATTAAATCAGAATAGGTAAATATTAGATCATCAGCTACGTATTACTTCGAATGCAATTATTAGAAGTTCAATTTACAGATCCCTAATTTTAAAGTTTATCTTGCTAGAAATAAAGATGTTGGTGAAATCTAAGGCAATATATTTATTTTTAATACATTTTAAATGGTATTTCACGAATAAGCATTTCATATTTTGTAATGTTCATAACTTCGAAGCAAACAAGTTTGCTATTAATGCCACGTGTTAATTTAGTTAATTATTCTCTTTACTTAGTACCGTATTTTTCGCCGTATAAGACGCACTTTTTCTCCCCAAAATCAGGGGGGAATACCTGCCTGCGTCTTATACGGCAAATACAAAAGCCCACCATGGCCCTCCGCTGCCCCTCCACCTCTGCATACATACCTTACCGCAGGAATACTCGGCCACTCCGTTCCCTTCCACCTCTTGGCGCCGTCTGAGACCAGGAAGCCCCGCTCTGCCTCGCACTGTATTTGGACGGTCTCTGCCTCGCGCTGCGATTGGCTGAGCGAAGAGGCGCGTGCCTTCGCTCGCTCCCGCGCTGGCTTTGTCAACACCTCCTTATAGAAGGAAGCCGGGACACTGGATTGTGACGTCACGCGTAGTCGTCTATGTCGAAACCCCGAGAGAGCAACGAAACAAAACAGGCTGCGCGCTAGTGCCGTACTTAACGTTGATTTCACTATTTGATATAGATACTTGGGTGGGATTTTATTCAGTGATTCAATTATATATAATGAATAATTTAATTACTTCAAAATTTAACACAATAAAATTTGACATAAATTTAAGAATTTTTTGTTTCTTATTTCTTGACTTTAATGAATTATACTTCCTTGTAGGTTTCACAGCAGCATTTAAAAAGTTAAAAATCAGCCATACTAACTCAAAAAAGGAATTTCTGACTTTTCCCTCATAATTTAATATTGCTTTATATTTTTCTAATATTTATGAAAAAAACCCAAATTATCTGCATACAAACTATTACTTATCATTTCATTTTTCTTCCAATCAGTAATTTGTCTTTAAAAGAAAATGGTATAAAAATGCACTAAATTTTGTCTATAATATGCTATGTGTCTTGCAAGTTTCAAATAAATTAGTATATCAGAGGTTTGCTTAGCAAATAATTCAATGTGCAATTTAAAATTATTGCTTAAATCTGTAGAACCAATAATATTAGTTGTATATGTACTTAACTGTATTGTGTTAGTTATATAGCTGAACTTGAAAATAAAGATTCACAAGTGAAAAATAAAAAAAAATTTATTTACAATTTTATGCAAGCAGTCAGCATAACAACACAACACCTAAGTTATAACATACAAATAAGTTTAAAACCAGCTGATCTCTTTTTATCAATAAATTATTCAAACTTTCTTGTAAAAATTGAAGCAGAAATCTCATTAAGCATATTGCCATACTAAGAAATCTCATCAATTCTTATTTATTAACAGGTGTGAAAATTTCAAAACTGCTTCTATATTAATTGGGTCTCATCAGAAACAATAAGATGAGACTATGTGACCTTAATATTTAAATTTTGATACTGCAAGTTCAAGTTTCTATTCGTTAAATTTCAACCCATTTTGTCTGGCAATTACAAACACCGTTATTAACTTTTTACAACAGCCAATTAATAGTTTCAAAATGTATTACGATACTGCCATAATATGGATAAATATCGGGCAAACACTTGAGAAGACCGTCCATTACCATTTAAAACACTTCAGGTGCACAAATGATATTAAATTTTATACGATGGCTATTATTATTTATGAAGCATATAAAGATACATTCAACAGCAAATGGATGTCAGCATCACCAGTATATGTAAAAACATTTATTGATGTTGTGTAAAGGAAGTGATTATCAGTTAATGTTTCAAATATAGAAAATAATAAAAATGTTTTTACCTATGCACCAGTATCCAATTTGAAAGTATCTGGTCACTACATGCAACACAATTTTGTTGTAATTTTTCCAAGCTAAAATCGTGATCTTCTAAGTTACTCGCTATCAGGCTTGTTTAATTTAAGCAAAGAATATATCAAAATGATTTGTCCAGAAAGCCACCAGTCTTAATTATGGGACACCGGTAATTTCAAAATGCACATGAAAATCACAGGTTTGTGAAATGAGTGCTCCTAATCAGAGACACCCTTTATTCAGCCAATTCCCAGAATAATAGTAGGAGTTATTACAAACCTGTTATTTTGTCGCCATGCTGAAACACATAACTGTTATCTTGATAAAGTAATTTATCATATGGTAACATGAAAATTATACTCAAATGATATAAGTAATGGCCACTTAAAGACACAACATAGACCCTTTTTTACACACAACAACAAATTAAAGACAAGGAAATGAATTTTTCAATATTTTTAAGTGTAAAACAGTCAGTACATGCCCATATAAAAAATATAAATTATAATGACCCATTCTCAGTATAAAAGCAGCAGCAGTTACCATAAACTTGTCATCTTGTAAGCATGCTGAAACACAACTTTTATCATGAGAAAGCATTTTACAGTATGTTAACACCAAATGATAACCACTTACTAAACATTAAGTGGTAGCCATTTAAATACAACCCAGATACCATTTTATGCAGCAAACACTCAACAGCACGAAAATGAATTTTTCAATATTATCATCTTTCAAGTGCTCTGAATATAAAACAGTCAGTGCATGTCCATATGAACAAAATTATAATGACCCATTCCCAGTATAATAGCAGCAGCAGCTATTATAAACATACAATTTTCTAATCATGCTGGAAACATATAACTGTTACCTCGATAAAACATTTTACCATATGTTAACACAAAAATTATATCAAAATGATAAGAGTAGTGGCCACTTAAAACATAACCCAGACACATTTTTTATGCGATGACAAATTAAAGGCAAGGAAATTCCTTCTTCAATATTTCAAGTCATAGAGTGGATATATATATAAATATATTTATATACGTTTGGTGTGGCCGATTGCAACCAAAATACGAGGTGCACATATACATGTTATAGCAGTCCTATATACAAAATTTCAACGTTCTGAGGCTACTCGTTTTTGAGTTATGTGAGATATGTACGTACGCACGAACGTACGTACATACGTTCGTACAGAAGCCACGAAAAATTCTCTTCAGAATTAATAATTTAGTTTAAGTTTTTTTTAAGCAGTTTTATAATTTTTTTGAAGGAAAAGAGTATTTTATTCTGTCCTTACGTACAGATATGGTGCAAAAACATCGTTAAATTGCATTCGATAGCGGTCAAAATGGATATTTTCGGTGAAATATGCTGCCTGAAACTTTTCGCGATTACAATACTTCCTTTTTACTTCGTACAAGGAAGTAAAAAGGACATGCCTTCTTCAATATTTCAAGTCATCTAAATATAAAACAGTCAGTATATGTTCATATCAACAAAATTATAATGACCCATTACCAGTATAACAGTGGTAGTTATTATATACATATCATTCGGTAAGCATGCTGAAACATCACTTTTATCAGGAGAAAGCATTTTACCATATGTCAACACCAAACTTATACCCAAATGATAAAAGTAGTGGCCGCACTAAAACACAAACCGAGATACTTTTTTACGCGATGACAAATTAAAAAAAGGACATGCCTTCTTCAATATTTCAAGTCATCTAAATATAAAACAATCAGTATATGTTCATATCAACAAAATTATAATGACCCATTACCAGTATAACAGTGGCAGTTATTATATACATATCATTCGGTAAGCATGCTGAAACATAACTTTTATCAGGAGAAAGCATTTTACCATATGTCAACACCAAACTTATACCCAAATGATAAAAGTAGTGGCTGCGCTAAAACACAAACCGAGACACCTTTTTACGCAATGACAATTTAAAGGCAAGGAAATGCCTTCTTCAATATTTCAAGTCATCTGAATGTTAAACAGTCAGTATCTGTCCATATCAACAAAAGTATAATGACCCATTACCAGTATAACAGTGGCAGTTATTATATACATATCATTTTGTACCCATGCTGAAACATATCACTTTTATCAGGAGAAAGCATTTTACCATATGTTAACACCAAACTTATATCCAAATGATAAAAGTAGTGGCCGCACTAAAACACAAACCGAGACACTTTTTTACGCGACGACAAATGAGAAATTAAAAAAAGGACATGCCTTCTTCAATATTTCAAGTCATCTGAATGTAAAACAGTCAATATCTGTCCATATCAACAAAAGTATAATGACCCATTACCAGTATAACAGTGGCAGTTATTATATACATAACATTTTGTAAGCATTTTGAAACATATAACTGTTACTTTGATAAAGTATTTTATCATGTTAACACCAAAATTATACCCAAATGATAAAAGTATAAAAGTAGTGGCCACATAAAAACATAACGCAGACACTTTTTTACACAACAAATTAAGGGCAAGGAAATGAATTTTTCAATATTTCAAGTCAATTATAATGATAAAGAATCTTACCATATGTTAACACTAATTTGATATCCACATTAATAATAAGGACCACTTAAAATACAACCCTGACACTTATTTACATAGATGCATAGAAATGAATTTTTCGTTACTATTACTTTTCAAGTGATCTCAAGGTTAAACAGACAGCATACATGAGTAGAAAAAAAATAATAAGGAATTCACAATAATGTGTAACAGTAACTGTTAGATGCGAAAATATTTTTTCAACAGCTAGTATGTGTTAATGCAAAATGTGTTTCCTTAGTTATTCCACCACTAGAACAGCCTAAAAGTTTCCACTGATCTAACCACTCAAGTAACTTATTTAAATAAATATATCTAACATCATCATTTTGCACAGTTAACGGCTTTTGATACTCATTCATCTTATGGTGTCCTTTAAAGATACTTTTGACATTGACTATTGACCACCATGTAGATATAATTTTAATAAATTCAGCTGTTGTTTCGTAATTTAAAATACTATTTTCTTTACCAATAACCATTATTGCCTCTGCAAGACGACTGTCAAATATTTGTAATGCTAGCTTGACATTTTGTCTTTCCAAATTGGTTGGATACAGAGCTTTCAGAGTCAAACCATAACTATATTTTACAATTCTGCCTGCCTCTAATGAATAGAGACTTTTTATGCATGCAAATGCCGCTGTTTCGACCTTGGAAAAATTTTCAAAATTTGGATAAAATAAACATTGCCCAGAAGTTTTTTGATTTATCCAGTTGTTCCTGACACACTTCAAGATGTGCACTGAGTCAATAACAAAAAATAGTGGCCGAGATAAGTCTGCAGGGTTTTTATACACAATACTAATTTTTGGAGGCATACAAAATAATGACATGGCTTTTTTATTTATTGAATTATTGTCAGAGACAACTGCCACAATTCTATAACCTATATTTTCTAAACCAATTATAATTTTCTTAAGATATTGATACCGATCCTCAGCATTTAATGATTTAACTGGTAATATATGTGCCACATCCTTGAAAGGTGATAATAAGCTACGTATCATAAACACATAAGCACTTGTAGCAGCTTTTTCACAGTTGTAGGCCATGCCACACAAATTTCCTCCTTTAAAATCGAAACATGAATTTAAATGCACTTCATCCATCATAATAATTACAGTTTTATCATTTTCTTCTAAATCCTTGCATCTTTGTTTAAACATATCCTAAAAAGTCATCATTAAATTGCTCAGTAATAGGATTAAGAGAAAACGTTGAACAAATTCTACGAATAGTACGTGGATGGGGAATAGAAATGTAACCTGAATGTCGTAAAAACTTGTATGCATGCGGTGAGATCGAGTTTAACAAACTGCAAAAAATAAGTAAATCTGGAGTATATCGATACTTCTCTTTCTTTACATTTAGTTTATTTACTTGCTCTGAAAGGAAGTTCAGTTCAGTTTCTTTTTTCAGGTAACACTCTTTTCAATTCTGAAAGCATATCATCCACAATTTGTATAGAATTCTTAATATATTCTTCATTTTGTAAGTTATGAGACAGACTTTCAACTTCCTTTAGTACTTCTAGAAACATATTTACATTACTAATTTTTAGAGGGAAAACAAATTTACCAATAGATTTTATAGCGATGTTTTTAATATAAACACATACTGTTAAATCCTCATTTATTACTACCGATTTCTGAATTTCTGGAGCTGGGTCACTTAAAATATCAAGTAACATAGTTGAATTTTCAGTATGTACAGTTGTCCAAAATGTTTCTAAAATCTGATGTTCTAGGCAATTATTGAATTCAATTAAACTTTCAAATGATCGTTCATTATCATACCGTTCTTTCATTTTCAAACTTTCTTCTATCGCTTTCTCCAGGTATTTCTCTTCTAAACGAGCTTTCTTCTTTTCTGGTGACATTCTCGATACAGAATTTGATGACATGTAGGATGGTTCATCAGGGAACTGAGAAGGTATGCATCTTTTTTTCAAACGTGGCCTAGAAATTGGGGCTTTAATTAACTTCGCTGATTTCTCATCATACATTTCGATTTCTCGTATTATTTCATCTGATCGAAAATGTAATTCACATACCTATAAAAGAAAATATTCAAAAATCAACTTGTTGTGAGTACAAAAGTTAGATGCATGTTAAGATTAAGTAACAGAAGTCAATAAGCCCTATGATTTAAATAAATAATTTGATACATAAATACGAATTAAAAAACCAGTAATATCATTTCAATTACGTGTATAATTTAAGTAATTTGTAAAATCTGGAATGTTCATCATAATGATTACAGCTTTATTTACATTTAAAGAAAATTATATATTTGAGATAATTGTTTACAACAAACACTGGTTACCAAATACAAATAATTACCTTAAATACATCATACCAAACTTTCATATATCATTACAAAAATTTTAAAATGAAACCTATTATGATTACTTAGTAGTTCCTTGTCATATAAATTATGATAAATTTGGAATAACTACAGAATCTGCCTGCACAGTATACTAGAAAGCATTTACAAATTATTGGCATTTATGTAACTACTAAATTTAGAATTATTCCTGTTATATGGAACTTTATTTCATTCATAAAACTTTGAAGGAAAATATTTTTTTTGAAATGATTAAAACAGGCAAGATTAAAATCTTTCAAACATAAAACTTCTTACCCACAGATCAAAATCTAATATCGTAAGGCATAAAACATCACATACCTATCAATAAAAGTAATAAAAAATGTAAAGATACAAAACATAAAAAAATGCAGTAAAATTGAACTTACTCTGGTATGTTTAGTAGGTTGAAAGCCATCTTTTCTTCGTAGACTCCTTATCCATTTCATCCGGAGTTCAGTCTCATTTGGAAACTTGAATACAGCCACTTTTGGTCCGTTTTTATAATTACCACGACATGTGGCTACAGCACATTTATGAGGCATCGTATGAAATTATAAAAGCACGAGACAATATATAAAAAAAGCACGAGACAATATAAAAACTCTGTCGCTAACGCAAATAACCGCTCCACGTTCGTCGCTCTTGGCTCACCTACGGGGCTTTGATTTTGTTTGAAGGAGCGAGGTGAGTCAGAGACGACTACCTGTGACATCAGAGCTTCCCCTCGCTTCAGTGTCCCGGCTTCCTTCTATAAGGAGGTGTTGTCTTGGCTCACCTACGGGGCTTTGATTTTGTTTGAAGGAGCGAGGTGAGTCAGAGACGACTACCTGTGACATCAGAGCTTCCCCTCGCTTCAGTGTCCCGGCTTCCTTCTATAAGGAGGTGTTGGCTTTGTGCACTTTTTAGAGTCTTTGTAAGCCAGCGCGGGAGCGGGTGAAGGCACGCGTCTCTTCGCTCAGCCAATCGCAGTGCGGGAGCAATCGGGAGCAAGCGGAGGCGCGGATAGCTGTGAGCTGTTATATATGTAGTATGGTATATCTGAATGAAATATATCATATTTCATACCACCCCATCAAGATGTCGAAGCAGAAGAGACTGGCATATAAAGTTGCTTTCAAGCTGGAAGTAATTAAATTTGCTAAGGAGCATGGAAACAGAGCAGCGGAGAGACACTTTGGGCCACCTCCAACTGAGAAAATGATAAGAGAGTGGAGGAAACAGGAGGATCAGCTCCAAAAGTTGGATAAAAGCAAGCACGCCTTGCGTGGACCAACTGCAAAGTGGCCAGAGTTAGAGGTAGAAGTAAAGGAGTGGATCACACGTCACCGGCAAAATGGACTTTCTGTCTCAACAAAAATGATAATCTATGAGGCCAAACGCATTGCTGTGGAAAAAGGCATTCAGGATTTCACTGGATCACCATCGTGGTGCTATAGATTTATGAAGAGATTAAAGATAGCTCTTAGTATGTTACATGGTTGACATAAAATTTTTCTTAAACTGCTGTTAACTTTATACAGTTGATATAAAATATTTTACTACAGAATTTGGTTTATAATCTTTTTTTTCTAGATTTGCCTCCTTTAAAATTGGGTACGTCTTATATGCCGGTGCGTCTTATACGGCGAAAAATACGGTAATTCTCTACAGTTTTATTACCTCTTTCTATCTTAAGGCTTCGGATCTAAACTGAATATCTCTTAATACCACAGCCGCGGCAGTATTTAAATTTTACTACGGTAAACTTTCCGTCTTTGTAGCTATTAAAATATTTTAGGTTTGAAATTAAGTGATGCATGTTCAAATTATTTAAATGTGAAATTTTAAAGTAGTTAGTGTTTTAGGATTAAGTTTGCTTATAAGCGCTAAAACATTTTTAGTTTTGAAATTACGTGATGCATCCTCAAACAACTTAAATGCGCAACATGCAAACTTTTAAAGTGAATAAAGCGTCAGTATCAAGTTTACTTTCAAATGCGTAGATGTTCTATATCTAGAACACTGTTGAATCATTTTGATCACGCCAGCGGCCGGGCGGTAAAGTCGCTAACACTGGTAGTTCGGTTCGAGCTTCGAATCGCGCGAACGGGCTGGCTGCATGGGCGTTTTCGTGGTTTTCCCCATGTGTAACGTGTATACGAGCCAGTTTCCCTTGGAAAGTCCTCCACGAAGGCATCCCTCCCCTTAGGAAGATAGCCCTCGAGGCTTTGCCGTAATCACACACACACATTTTGATCACGGTGTCAATGTATTCAAAGCTTATAAACATCCTTTTTTTACAAAGCTTTCATAATAATGAAACAATGACGTTTGTTTAAGTGCAACATCTTTACAATCAGCTTGGGACGTAAACAACATTTCCCTTAATTGTTTGTGTCTAAAAAGAAATCTACTCCAAGAACGCAAGAGAAAACTTATATAAGCAAAAGATTAATTTCATTAGATTCTCAGTTAGAAGTAACACATATTTGGTGCAGATTTACGAATCTAGAGGAAATGAAACAAAATGGCATTTAAAAAATGATGCATTTTGTTCCAAAAACCGAACCTTTTGGAGGAATAATAGCTTGAAACATGCTGTTTTTCTCACGAGTGCAAATAATCTTCGATTCTTGCTGCAAAAAATGTGTACTCTTTTCTTGCTGTAATAAATGAGTAAATTATTTGCTTACAAAGAAGGATTACCTATATATATTTTTAAGAATTTCATTATTACACTGGCAAATTAGTGCAATAATGGAATGCTTAAATAAAGCACCAGATATCTGATATAAGGGTCGGAAATTTGTAATTAGAATATGTGTATCTTGTTATTAGATGTCGCCTGCATACGTGATTAGAAGTTTGCCTGCCATAAAAAGGAAATTTCAGATATTCTTTAATGCGCGACAATTATATTTTCTGACTTTAAAATTCTGAATTACATAAAAATGTTATCTTCAGCCGAAAGGGCTGTGCAAGTGACTGAGTGATTATAACTTCTAAATACTGCCAGTTGATCTGGTTTTAACTTAGGCGAATATATGATTGAATTGTTAAGCGGTTATCAGATCTAACGACGCGTTAGACTAGGAAATACTTTTCCGAGAAATGAGCTTTCCCTTCATTTATCAATGAAAGGTTCCTTGAAACATATTTCGCTGGAACGTATGTCCCAACTAGCTACGTGGAATATTTTACAAATTAGATGAAAGTGTCTCTTTTGAAGCTGTATCCCTCTTAGATTTTCTTCAAAGAAATAGTTTTCGCGTAAGTCAACCATTCAGATATCTGGAAAGCGCAAACTTGAAAATGTTTATTTTGATGCGCTGTTCAAAGTAGGCAGTAGATGCAATACTATGACGGTTTTATTGGTTCCCCTCGTGCGCAGCGTGAATACGAAACAGTTTTGCTTAGAACGATTTCCAGCAGATAACCTTGTGTGTTTTTCCATATTCAAATAGCTAACTTAAACTAAAAAGTAAATAAGCATTTTTGTTATTATTATATTTTTATACTAAGCAATATATTAATCCTCTGAAGTTAAATACTGAAAATATCAGATTGAGAACTTTCCGAAATATACGAGCAATACCTTATAACTTAATTCAAACAAAAATCCCTACCATTCAGTTGAAAACTTTCATACAAGTTTTTCATAAAAGAATAAAAAGATTATTTGCTGTGACATGCACTTATTAAAATAGCAGCCTATTTTCTCTTTTCAAATGATGTAGTTTTTTATTTCTAAATAATATTATGATATTATATCTTTTCATGCATCTCCAGATGTTAAATGTTTCATTAAAATCTTTTAAGTAAGTATAAAATCTTGAATAATGTTCATTTGGCATTTATTCTTTACATACAATATTTATACAAACATACACACGCACAGGCACACCTCAGTACATTAACTAACTGGTAAATTTTTTTTTAAGTTATAAGAATATTTTATAGCATAGTTTATTATCTGGGATACCAATTTCCTCTTATCAAGTCATATGAAATTATATACATAATTTTAATAACAAAATAAAAGTTGCCTTAAAGCTATCAAAATAACTGCTCTTGTGTTTCTAGGTATAAAGCAATTTTTGCGGTTCTAGAATTCAAGGCATCTCTTGAATTTTGTTCCTACTGTTAATTGAAAACAAGTGCTCTTTACGCATATGCAACAGTCGCAAATTTATGTATTGTGTCAGTTGGGTTTATAATATGTTTTATTTATTTGCTTTAAAGAGTACTAATGTATATATTCTAACAGTTAGCCTTTCTCATTCATCTGCATAATGACAAGTGCTGTTTATTTGCTTGTACATCCTATTTTATATGTATATATATATATATTATTTTCAGTTTTTATTGTTTTTTATGTTTTCTCTCTATCTTTATTTTCCTTTCTTTATTATTTTTCATTATTCAATAATTTTTTATCATTTGTCTCATTATATTTTCCCCATTCCTCTGTGAATTATGAAGAGTCTAACGAAGCATGAACCTGTTCACCCTGTAATATTTTATGTAACATAACAGTGTAATGCTTGAAGTTTTTCCAATAAATGCATATCTGCTGATCGCTTGTTTTCGTCCAAGATTCCATTAATCTGTTAAGCACCCCAGCCTTATGTCATCTCGATCATGAGAAGAAACCAGAAGTAGAAAGGACCCATAACCTAAGTTCAAAATTGCCATTCATTCTACCTAAGAAATTAAAATCCAAATATTTATTTTTCAGACAGCATTTCAGATACTACTGACACTCTACAGAAAGAAGCGTGTCCGTAATATATATATCATATATCATATATATACACGCTAATGTATCTTTAAAAAATTGACAGTATATTTTGAGATATTTAGTATTACTGATGCTCTATTCTAACTGTTTCGACTTTAAATTAAAAATATACTCCTTTCATTCACTTCAATCACGTCAATTCTCTTTCTAATGTTTTTCATTGTTTTTTTTTTCTTTTTCAAAATCAATAATAGCTTTAGTTTCATATCTGTATTCACATCTATACATTTCTTTATCTGCAAGAAATGTTTAAATTCCAGTACTCTATAAACCGGCTCCAATTTTAAACCCATTTTCAAATAGTGTTTTAAGTTTCTAGTATGAATGATATCGCGTTCTCAATCATATAAAACGTTGCTAGTAATTTAGCTTGTTATCTGAATTCTATTTTCAGGGGCTAAAGGTGTTTTTGAATGTTCATCATTTGGTTTGTTTGGATATTTTAAATCCACCATACGATAAATATTAACTAGCCATGAATATACATTATTTGCATCCAGATACATTAAATAGAAAGATGGTTTATTTTTATCATATTTTATTTTAAAATATATTTAGTATTTGCTGTTCATAGCTGACTCTTGTTCTCTTCTTGTTCGTAGCTGACTCTTGTTCTGTTCTTGTTCATAGCTGACTCTTGTTGTCTTAGAGCTCTTGTTTCTGTTGTGTCTTTTTCTAACATTAAAATCATGTCATAATCACTCAATAGTTCCAATTCAATATTTGTGATTTACACCATTGCTTCCCAAGCTAACTCTGGCG